TATTAATGCAGCACAAACATGCTTCTGTTGCTTTCGGGGAATTACCACATCCTTTAACACAACTGTACAAATTCCTCTTTATATTTTCAATATAGGCACCACAGGAACCACTCCTCAGCATCAGTCTTGATCTGGTACATAGCAGCACAGTTTCTTTGAGCGTCTTTTATAAGCTGATTGTGACTGGGTGTTTGCCTGGAACCAATCTCAGTCTAGGGACCTGCTGGGCTCGTTTTCACAGGCGGCCTGACCTCCGGTGCAGTGTAGTAGCCGAGCTCAGTCTGCGGCCATTGTACGTCCTCGATCAACATTTCATAGGAGCACAATGCCCGTCCCTGAGGCGGCAGTTGACTTTGGGACTGAGCTGAGAAAAGCTGACAGAATAGCTGGAATGACTTCACACTTTATTTTTCTAATTTTATCTCATGGTTAGAGGGTTCCAACAGTTTCATTCTTATGGTACCAAAAGGCCCAATGGCATTTTGGCTTTAGCATGAGCTCCATATGTAAGTCCTGTGCAGAATCACTCCTGTAGAGCCTTAGAAACCCTTAAATTCTTAAAGATACGTCAGCTCTGATTCATTCTTTCAAAATAGAAGGTTTTCTGGAGGGTTTGATTTCTGCAGCACCATAATCTAACAGGCATAGCTCTCTGTGATGCAGTTTACATTGCAATTAGATATGGAGGATAAGGTGTGAGGAAAGATATTCCATCAGAGTTTATTACAGTGGGCCATATTTTTGCTATGATGTAGAATTTGGACATGCTCCTATGATTATGAGATTAGATTACATTTGGGTTTGTTCCTTAATGTGCAGCTCTCTATAGAAAGTGTTGCTCCTGTGCACTGTTCACAGTCCTTCTTCAGCTGACAGATGGTCCCATCCAGCTACTCTGACAGCAAACACAGTGAGGAGTTGCTGAAAACCTGCTTCAGCAAGGGCTTCAACCTGCCTATGGAATATGTGTCTGTGTGTGTGTGTGTACAATGCGTTCTTATCCAATGTGTTTCACTCTCTCTGCACACACACATAAACACAGCTAGAGTGTATGGGGACTCATCATTCAACTTAAGTCTCCAAAACAAATAATCACAGGGTTGGACCACATGTTGCAGCTCCTCTGCTGTGGGCTATGACAGCTGTCAATCACTCCGCTGACCTGTAAACACACCTTTGGTGGGCACAGTTACTAAATCAAACTGTACAAATATAGCAAATCTAATGCTATTAATCTTTGCTTATTGACGTAACCCCGTGTTAAATTTAGATCTGGCTGGAAAGACTGGTAATATCAGATTCCACCGGGAGTCTGTTTAAAAAGGTCTCTAGATGGTGTTTATTTTAAGGCCCCAATGGTGGACATGTTGATGGCTTCGCATGCTTTGGTGTCCAGACCTCTTCTGCAGAACCGCCTAACAACCTCACAGGAATGTTTCTCAGTAACTTCAAACATGACTGCACATAGAGCGCTTGCAAAAAATATGTGGTTATTTATCAACTGCCCGAAACATTTTCAGATCTTGAAATGATTATTATTTTTATAAGTCTAGAGTGTTGCTTTTAAGGTCTGACGCCCCACGTTGACAACATTTCACGCTTCCTTCCTTTTATTTTACACTAGCAAATCTCTGTTCTTATATATTATTCGTAAACAGTTAAACAAAAGCTAACTGTATTTGACAGTTTATCCTCTGGTTTCCCTTCACCACATTTTTGGCTGCTAAATCAACACAAAAGAACTCGGGGTAACCTCAAAGTGGGGTTCCCTTTTTCAGCTTTCTGTGGTCTGTTGGTTGTAGAATAAAGCTAAACAGTGAAATGGGACTTTCCTGCTGTTTGAGTGAAACCTCTGTGTTTGTCCAACAATATGTGAGTGCCACCCTCTAATGCCTCTCCCCTATAGATTGTGGAGGTGTGTGTTTGTCTATGGTGCGGCATGGGGCCTATGATGTCCTAGCAGTGGCCTCTCTGCCCTGCCTGTTCATGGTTGCTGAACCAAGAAGAACATATCAAACAAACACTCCAACACAGGGCTGTCGGAAGATTGGGTTACTCTTGACATGAGAGGACATGTGGACTGTATTGTGTTGCCAAAGTCGCACACTCCTCTGACCTTCAGAGAGTGGTGTCCAACTAATCATGGAGCAGCTTAAACCCATGTAAACTCAGTAGATCCACCTTACCCTACCTTATAGATGGTATGTATTCGTAGTAAACATCATCTGTAACTGTGTCTGAGACAGCCAATGATGAAAGACTTTCTAGATCTTCCGATCCACCAGGCGGTATTAAGCCATCAACACAGTGTGACAGACACTCAGTAGCGCTTGTCTCTAATGTGCGGTGTTAAGTTACAACAGTGCTGGTGGAAAACCATCAGATAACTCCACATGGCTTGCAGGAGTGGCATGAGGAATGTGTCAGTTGTGCATGCATGTGTGTGTTAAAATGTGCATGTGCACCACAAGTGTCATTAATGGATATATTTCTGTCTCCATACAGAGCTGAGATCCACCGGCACTGCTCATCACTTTGCCTACCTCCTCAACACATCTGACTATCGGATCCTGCGTATGGATGAGGACCATGACCGCATGTATGTTGGCAGCAAGGACCACATCCTGTCCCTGGACCTCCATGACATCAACAAGGACCCACATATCGTAAGACCATTCCCATGCTCGGTCTCCCCTCCCCCTACACTCTGGCCCCTCAAATTGGCTGTTACACTGGGATGAAGCAAGCGCCTTTACCTCAGTGCTACAACAGAAGCCCCAGGGGCAAAATGTTCTGTTCTATTGCCCCAGCAGCAGCCATTTTGTTAAGCTCACGTCTAGTTTTTGTTGGAGTGCACTTTTTCTTGTGTCGGGTCATTAAAACACTGTAATTGGGTTATAACAATCCCAACCGGACTAATATTAGCCTGGGTGGATATCCCTTTTGCAATTTTAGCCCAGAAATCTCATAAATGCCAGTGATGTATAACAGGTTGGATTGTAACTATAAAATGTTCTCTGTTTCCCCCTGGCAGATCCACTGGCCAGTGTCCGAACGAAGAAGGATGGAGTGCCTTGTGAGTGGGAAAGACGCCAATGTAAGTATGGCTGTTGACAGCACTCATAGCCTCAGCAGGGTCATTCAGCTGAGCTGATTTCCATCGACTTGATAGGCTGAAAAAAGAAATGTAGAGCATTAAAAGCATACAGCTCCCTCCATTGTGCACAGTGGTTTTAATATGAGGAACCTGTAAAAATAGCACTCACCTGTGGAGTTCGGACTTGGCCCAGTAAAAGCGTCGGTTCCCTTCTGTCTAGCCAAGGAGACAGGAATGGATTAGAGCAGAGAAGTCCAGTCAATCTCACCATCGTCCTCTCTGCCAGGCCAGAGTGGGCAGCACAACACCACTGATATATTGTCCAAACATATATAGATGCACACACAATATTATGTACTGGTGCAGTACCGGTAAATTTTTTTGTCACTTGAGCATTTGGTAAATCTGCAGGATGTGTACCAATATGACTATGAATGTCTTTGTGTTTAGATGTTTATTGCAGTTTAATTGTGTCTGGGCTTTCTGTCTCCAGGATGAGTGTGCAAACTTCATCCGTCTGATCGAGCCATGGAACCGGACTCAGCTGTACATCTGTGGGACAGGAGCTTATAACCCAGTCTGTACTTTCGTCAACCGTGGACGCAAGCCTCAGGTTAGGATTAAAGACTAGAGGAATGTACAAGCCAAGAAAGTGATCTCTCTGTCAACTTAGCAAATATTTTTCTCCTTCTGCATCATAATTGGCATTGCTCGGCCTCTCATTTTTACACAAGTTCTTACTCCATGCACCTTACGCTAGGTTCCCTTTACGATGATTTTCCTCCATCATTAAGCCTGCCTGAGGTACCATGTCTCTGTGTCTGGCAATGCAGCCACCACAGCTTTACCAACACACAGCTGTCATCCCCAGTGAGCTGTTAAAGCTCTTGAATTTCCTAAACCAAACCAGGCATCACTACCATACTCCCCTTTAACACCTCACTCTTCTTTAAATATCACACTTGTTCCCTAATGATGACCAGGGGACTTTTTAAAAAGGACAAATAAAAAGTAAATTTCCCATTGGACTTTCCCTTGAGATATAAAGTGCGGTGCGGAGAAATTGCAATGGCAAGTGCTGCTTGCATGAGTCCCTTGTTGCATCCGGTTCCTACATGACCCTTTACTAACTAAGGGCCTCCATCCATTCCCTCACCATCCACCCCTTCATGCATCCTTCCAGGCCACCCGCCAGCCTCCACCATGTGAGACGTTGGGTAATTGGAAGTGGGAACTCCCGTTATGGGGTGCCAGTGGAATGTTCCAGTTCTAGTCCATTAATGAGAAGGCTGTTTTTTTCTCCGTCACATTGAACCGACAGGTCTGATTCGTCCCCCCATGAGCACCTTTCTCAGCTGGGCTGGGGAGTTTGCACTATGATTGCAAAAACATGACATGATTCACTCCACACAGATGCATGCACACAGATATCTTGACATACATTAAAAAAATTGATAATTAATTTGGATGGTTTTCATTTGATCACTCCACTGTGGCGTTTATTCTTAAAGTAGGAGCCTCTAGCTTTTGTAAACTGTAATAGCCAAATGTTTTTCTTTGGCAGCAGATTTGAGGAGAATACACTGTATGTAGCATACTGTGAGAGACTTTCTTGACTCAACCACAGGATTGAGGATTATTGTGGTTGCCCTTTTGACCATCTGGTCAAATAAAGCTACACACATTCCCTGTACAATCTTGCACACTCACATATATATTTTCCTCATGCACTTGCATTACATTTATTTCAATACTATTGGGTTAAGGGGTTTTACATCATGTGTGGAAGTCAGGACAGACTCGAGCGATGCAAATGGAGGTGGGGAAGGTCCTCGATCCTTCCTCATCTTTGGCGTAACATCCAGACTGTGTTGCTGTCTCTTGTTTTAGACGTCCATGTATCTGCAGATGGCCCAAGCCAGAGGAAGGGCTAGCCGCGCAGCTGAACCCAGCGCGGTGCACGAGACACTTGGACTAAAGGTGCGATGTGGGCCCTGTCTGCACCGCAGCCCTGCATACTGCTTGGGCTCGTGGTCACCAGCAGCCACTCCCTCTCTTTGTGTCTGAGCACATTTTCTCCATACCATCTTTAATTTGACCATCATTCGCTTGTCTCTGAAACATTTGGCATGCATCATTTCCAGTCCGTGCACAATCTTAAAGTTTTGTGTAGTATGGAATCGCATTTATTTTCATGTCCTTTTGTCTCTCCCGTGTTTCACTCGTACAATATTTTCTTTGTGTAAGCCTCATTGTCTGAGCACCCCTTCATATCTGCCATTGTCCTTTTTGTGCTTTGCATTTGTGCTAAATGTCATATTTTGCATGAAAGGTGGGTTATCATGTGGAAATGGCTTCTCAGGCTGCTAAAAAATTCTGATGACTTTTGCGAGGCACAGATTTAATTAAACAGGCTTTCACTGCTGTTCACTGCATGGCATATTAATTTTTTATTTAGTATCTATTTAGCAGCTTCCATGAACATCAGATACCAGAATCATTCATCCCGCTTATCTGACACAATGCAGGGTGTCCCACCCATCAGTCCTTCACCCCACCGAGCCCTCCACCTTCTGTAGGAATGTGGTGCAGTATCTCCCACAGAGGCGGCAGGACTAGTCAGCATCTGACCCACTCCCACAGCAGGCTCTGTTAGCCCAGAGCAAACACCAGCCATCTGTAGCCAACTAGCTGTGCAGCAAAGGAAATAAAAGAGCCACATACTTGAACATGTCTCCACTGTTTGAGCTCTCCAAGCACTCTGAAACACAGAAAGAGACTTATGAAGGACATAACGGCTTTAGGTGAAGTGGGACACTTTGAAAATGTTGCAAGTTTTTTGTAGTCTGATTTTTTTTTAAATATGTTGCAACTTTTCTGAAGGGTCATACTTTACAGCAAGGTTTTAAAAACGCGCTCAGGGCACAGTTTCCCTCTGGTACACATAAATGTTTGTGACCTTTTTTTACACATCAACATCTGGCATGGCTCGGAGTGAGCTGCCAGCACCTTCTGATTTGCACGAGTGGTGATTTTAATCAAAGATGAATAGGGAATTGCACAAGTGTGTGTGTGTGTGTGCGTGTGTGTATATGAGCCAATGATGTGAGTTTGGCACAGTGCCATATTCTCTCCCCTGCTTTAGTGCTGATGGACAATGACAGAGATGTCTCCATCTCTGTACCCACCGGGAGAGAAAAATGGGCATTGGACATGCTTTGGTCTCTGAGGCGGGGCTACAGGACATGTCATTGCATGCCACTGATTCATTTTCCCCCACTTTCATACTCAAATTCCTGCCAATCACCTTTCAGTGCTTGCGTGCAGGGATGCCACAAGCAGTGAGCATCAGTCATCCAGCCTCCATCCCAGGTTGTTTTCACTGTGCTGGATTACAGGTGTCAGCAGTAGGCCTGCACAGCCATGGGCACCAAGAAGCTGAGAGATATTTGGCACACAGTTTATTATGCTGAGAGAAGCAGCCCACAACACATTGTTATCCTCAGTAGAGAGGCACAGAGATGGATATGAAATTCCTTGCTTTCCCCGCATGTATTTTTCTGGATGAATGCACGCTCATTATTCAAATACTTCATCCCCCGTCAGGCCGTAAAGGTCCCACAGGAGTCAGAGGGAGCACATTTGTGCCTCATTTTCCCTACACAAGGGAATCACAGTGACAAGATGAAGAGTGCTGAATTTATTGCCGTCTCCATATGATTTTTCCATTTCAGGAAGAAATCTTCCATTTGGAGCCGGGCAAAGTGGAATCTGGGAAGGGAAAGTGCTCCTATGACCCGAAGCTCAACAGCGTGTCAGCTTTGATCAGTGAGTATCATCTTGGTTTGCTCACATGAGGGAGTAAGCACGGGTACAGTCAGGCCCAGCGGTCTTCATAGCGATGGCATTGACATCCCTTATGGATTCTTCATCTTTTTCTTCTCCTGTTTCTTTATATGGTCCTCTTGCGACTCACAATTTATATTTCTGGCAAACTTTGTTAACAGAAATATTTATCCCCTGCCATTGAAGAAGTCAAGAAGTTGAGGCCAAGTGTCCTTTCAATTCTGTGTCCCCTTTCCCACAGTGAGCTGCTTAGTTTAATCGGCCCAATCATTAGAGCTTTAGAACTTTTTCTTTCCTTGTTAGGTTGGCGATGAGCACAATAACATGCACCTATTAATATGTGAATCCCTCATTGGTGAATTAGTGGCTTACTTCCCATGAAGCCTGAGTATTTGCATGTGTTGTAATAGTCAACATTCAAATTTACAGATGGGTCACAAATTAAAGGGAAACCCCGCATAAATGAGTGGAGAAACATGACAAATGCAGACTCTTCAATTAAAAGGGGTCACTGAATGGTGTGATGGGGTATGAAAATGATCATCATGTTAGACTGCACTCACCGCTGCCATCATCAAAACATTAAATGAGGGAATATTTTCTGGAAAAATGTTGTTCATTCCTTCAGTAGAGGCCCATTTGGAGAATCAATAACAATGAGCATTGAAGCTAATCTGGAGGTTACACTTAAGTTAGTTTTGCTTTTAGTTTACCACCCATTATGTACTCTGTCATAATGTGGGTATGTTTCAGGAGAGTTATTAGACCAAAATATCATAAATAAATTATATAATAAGTATTCTACTATATAAGAGTGTGGACATAAGTGTATTCTCACTTTTGTTATCTATCTATCCATCCTGTTATAGTAATATCTGTTGTAGTAGTCATGACGCTGGTGTCTTCTGTCCCTTTGCCCAAGGTCACTTAGTCAGCTCCAGATTCCACAGTTGCCATCAGTGAAAGGCAATCTTCTCTCTGTGGGGTGAGACAGCGGGTGTAAATCACTGGCACTGCTTTCCCACATTAGCGCAGTGCCAGCTGACCAGTATGGAATCAGTACTGTCATCCAAGATGGATTTACCTCCCACTTCCACCAGTTAGCATCATACAAGGGACACTGTAGTTAGTGTTGATAAGGATTAAGAACCCTGTACCACGACAATAGATTTACCACTGACCACAGACTGTTCAGCTCTCCGCCACATTAGGCATCCCATCATCCGTGGACATTTTAATGATACATCATCAATCTCCATATAGCGCTGCCCAGGACCATGACATTGAATATAATGCTGGTAGGACAGTGTTTTTTGTTTCCTCTGCTCCACCTCCTGCTGTCTCCTTACTCCATCTCCGAGAGCTATGACAGTCACACCTGCTCTACAGTGGGGCCCTTGCAGCAGCTGTAGAACCAACACCTTGACTTCCTGTGGCTTAACAAGCCTGTTGAATACATTTGTCAGTCTGCACACATGTCCTCATATTTTATATTTTTATGGAGTGTGTGTGAAGGCTGTTTCGGGAAGTTTGAGCATTTTTTTCGGTAACACTATATTTTACTTTTAAGAAGACAACCAGAAAAATCCAAGCAAACAAGCTGTTTCCACAAAAAGTTCCTTGAAAGAAATGGTCAAATCTTAATGAGTAATTCATAGAAATCCATTTTAAAGCACAAGCACATGTAGTCTTTAATAATTAACTTACAATTGCTATATATATCAGAGATCGCATGCCTCTGGAGCATCTAAAGGTTAAGGGTCTTGCTCAGGGATGTGTGGAATATGTCACTATACCCAGGTCTCCCACACCAAAGGTGTCTGCACTGCACCATTACCACCTTACCACTTTATATATTAAACATTTTTCTTGTCTGCAGTGTACTACACTGAAACACAAATAAATGTTTTGTTCAGTTCACCTGCTGTGCACTGACTAAAACTTTGGTAAAACCTTGAATAACTTTCGAAAAATCTCGGTTACTCAACCAATTATAATTGAGAAAATGAAGTGTAAGGGATAGCTTAAACTGTAAATTGCAAATATTAGTACATCTGACTAACAAGCTTACAGTGGTTACTGTGACCACTAGTAACCATGTTTTTTCCAAAGGCAAGGGGCATGTCTAAATACATTATTTGGCGGTTATGCGGTTGCGTTCAGGAACATCCACCTTGTGGGAGCTATGATAATATTATATCAGAGTTAAGAGTAACGTTAGCAGCTTGTCATGCTTGGTCCCATAACTTCAGCCAAACTTAATTATTCCTCATCCTTAAATCCTTTTCTCCAGTAAAAGCATGAAGCACCTTTTGAAACTGTTAATACTGTAAATAACATATAATAAACAATCACAATGTTGTTTATAGTACTGTACTGTAATACAAGGGCTAACTAGCTCTACCCTACAATACACTAACAATGCAGCTCCTTATTTCATTGTGAACTTCTGCATATGTAGGACTTTTTTACAGGCTTAAAGATGAATTAGAATAGAACTTTAAAAAGAGACAGACTTTTAAACCAACTTCTCAACTTTTGGCATAAGCATTAGCTTACACTAGCTAGCTTCAGGTAATAAAATCTGTTAATGACAGTTGATGATTTCAGCCGACAAAATCCACGGTAGGCTAGTTGGCATAAAATAAGAGGCCTGCTTTGGTTTACATTTGTTTGAAACTGAAGCTAAATTGTTTCCAAAATTACTTTATATATATATATATATATATATATATACATACAACAGCAGCTAAAGGGGACGTGATCAGCCAATAGTCAATTGAAGGCTTCCATTTCCCCTGTAATTAATAACCAATTAGATATTCCTTTCCAGAAACCTTCCAAGCAAATTACACTTCCGTTCTAGGAAAAAAAAAAAACTATGAGACCTGTGAAATATTATTCTGCCTTGCAGCCTTTTGAGGAATGATCACTTGCATCTTGATTATACAGTATCATTAACTTATCCACTTTGTGTCTAAATGAACACAAATGTGTAGATGATGACTTTGTTATGCTGAGCTTCTGTGTGGTGGAATAAAGAGTTCTGAAATGTTGGGTTCTAAATATACATTTTTAAATCAAAGCCTTGGTGTTTTGTGCCAAGGGTGGTGCTGGAATAATGTCAGAGTCAAGGAATTTCACTAAAATTAACTTTTTTCTCTCTTTCTCAGATGGTGAACTGTATGCTGGGGTCTATGTTGACTTTATGGGAACAGACTCTGCCATTTTCCGTACTTTGGGGACAAAGACCGCCATGCGAACAGATCAGTACAACTCCAGATGGTTAAATGGTAACTTCCTCCTATTTAACCTACAAATGATACATAGGGGTTTCATCCAGCTTGTGCAGCCTTCCAGCATGATTTTTCAGCATACAATCCCAAACAGGGTTCCAAATGTAAAGCTGAATTGAAGAGATTCTGGTGTTTGCATATGTTTAGAATCACTCAACAAGTGATAAACAGGAAATGCCGAAAGTTTATAAAATATTTTAGCCAGATGTTTTCCCAAAGTCATCCTCTACCTAAACCACTCACCACCTCTTTTCCCCACAGACCCCACTTTCATCCACGTACACCTCATCCCCGACAGCGCGGAGAGAAATGACGACAAGCTGTATTTCTTCTTCCGGGAGAAGTCCTCTGAGATGGGCCAGAGTCCTGTGACCCAGTCCCGCATAGGACGCATCTGCCTGGTGTGTACACAGTGAGAGGCGTGTTTGTGTTGGTGTAAACATAATTAAAAGAAAAACCTGCATGGATATGAAAAACAGGCTGGAGTCTCCTGAGGCAAGTCACCCACTGGGTTTGAATGTTTATGGGCGCAGAACTTGTATTTGGCCAACGCTGATGTGCTGGAATCCACATGTGTCTTTAACCTTCCTGTCTACAATGCATCCCTCTGTCTGTGAGGTTGCCCTTTGACCTTTGACCCTGTGATCTTCTGACCTCTACTCCCTGGTAGTCCTAAAAAACTTGGCGCTTTTAGTGTACACGCCAACAAATAACTCACTGCCTGTCTTTTAGAGTCCTAATCATTTAAACTAGACTTCCTCGACAAAAGCCTGCGTGCTCTAGAAATACAAAGCAAGCTGAGCAACAAACAAATAACAACAACTGTCTCTGGGTAGCTTATCTGGCACCTCATAGTGTGAGTGTGAGTGTATGTGTCCCCTTATAGGTTTGCGTGCATGTGTGAGCATTGCGGCGGGTGTATGAGCACGGGAATGAGTGAGAAAATGTGGCGTATGTGTGCTCATCACCTCAGCTGTTCCCCATTGTATTTATTTGAGGGGGTCAGGCTCTGACCCTGCACACAAACACTCATCCCCCTCTCAGTGGGCTCTGCCACGGCCTCCAGAGACCCAGTCCTGTCATTCTTACTTCGCCACGCATCTGGATACTCTTAGTGCCATCCGCGGCACCCTGGACACCACCAAAAATACACTCAGTCATATACTGTAATTACACTGGAAATTAAGAAAACATTTCAGCCCCCAAAATGGGATTCATCAGAAGTGCGTGAAGAATGTGAAGCCTGCAACCACCATTAAAAAGAAATATTAAAAGATACATGCTTCCTCATGAGCGAGACTTTCTTTAAAGATGCTGACTATGGAGGAGGACTATAAAGCACATACTGGTCTCAGCTCTTTCTTACTGGGATAGATTCTGGCCTCGCTCCACCACAGATGGAAGAGTCTAAATAGGAGGAGACAGTGTTTACCCCCACTCCTTTTAGCTTCCTGGCTTTGCAAACCAACATGTACTGTATATTGTGTGTGGGTGGCTCCACCTGGGTTTGTTTTCATTAGGATGTGAGTTTGAGCGAGTGATGGAGAAACTGTGTCTCCACCCTCTCGAATACAGAATGATGATGGAGGCCACTGCTGTCTGGTCAACAAGTGGAGCACCTTCCTGAAGGCCAGGCTCATCTGTTCGGTGCCAGGGGCCGACGGCATGGAGACGCATTTTGATGAGCTCCGTGAGTACCAAAACCTTGACATTACGCTTTGGTTCCTTTCACTATTCTCAGATGAGGTCTGTAGGTTGTGGGTGGGAGGTGTTGTATAGACTTCCTGGTCAATAAAACATGCTGTCAGACTAGTGATGTCTTTTACTCTGATTTTTCAGTAGGTGTTTTTTTTTTATCTGTACATTATTGTCTCTGTTAATTGAGCAATCATTTGGTCTATAAACTGTCAGAATAGGAAATAAAAGCATTTTTATTCCCCAGGCCCCAAGGTGACATCTACAGTCCAGAGAATGAGCAGGTGTTTAGAACAATAAATATAAAAGCTTATATGTATATTGCATATAGATATTAAAACATGATTGTGTCTATCTGTGACATGGAATAGTGAAATTTGTTTGAACGTAGAAGTACTACTTTCCCCCAAAAGTCCAGTAAAGGTTTTTTCTTTATAAGTGGAGAGCTTACACCCTGTTTTTTGAAAGAAACTAAATCTGTTCTGTGTGCAGTTAATCATTTTGACAGTAGGTATTGAATGGCAAAGAAAAAAAGACAAATATGACATGACTGGATTTATTTCAAACATATTCGTTTTCAGGTTGCTGTCATGTATGATCACATCTGAAATATTAAGTAGAGAATAGTCTTTGACGGGGTCTGCTTCTATTGCAGCACTTGTGCAAACACACACACACCAGAGCTCAGTCCTTGGCCCATAGGGCAGCCCACTTCCATCATATAGTCCATACAGCATACAGTAATGGGAATGACACACATAATCCCACCGCTGTAGTTGTCATTTTCTCTCAAGATGTCTTAAACAAAAGTGTCTGTTTTTTTTGTGTGTAAGGGGGTGGCCTGATGGCAGGCAGATCAGATCACAAAACAGGAATGTCTGTGAATGTGAGACTATTAGCCTCTCCAGGGAAAGCTCTTTCTCTTTCTGTCTCACTGGTTTAAAATAGTGCCAAAGAGTGATAGGGGACTGATGCGTGAGGCTACTGTTGCTCTTGAACTAATCTCAAGAATGGAAAGTGAATCTGGTGATAGTTTTTTGTCTCTTTTTTCCGGCTGACACATTCCTTGCTTTTTATCTCTCTGAAAGCGCTGCTTTGTTTTTTTTAAGGTGAATTTATTTTATCCCTCTTTGAACAACTGAAAAAGTGACACACACTTGAAAACTCTGTGGCCTTTTCGTGTGCAGCCACTTCACCTAAACGATGTGAAAGCGGTTCTGAGTGGGATGGGCTCACTTTGCCATTACAAATGACGGTTCTGTCTTTACTGGTCAGTTCAGTGTTGACACGGGTGTGCTGTGCAAAGTGGTTCTGTGAGCGAGTCTGAGAGTCGCCAGCTGTTGGCACTGTTGATGATTTTAAGGATATTGCTTGAATAAGGCTGTAAATGTGCAGTGGAACAGGATGGTGAATGACCAATGACAGGCATTATAAGTTAGACATGACCATGGAGAAGGAAAGACTGCACATGTCAGTTTGCAGAGCAGCCATCACTGCCAAGGATGCCTAGAGGGGACACTAATTGGATACAATTGAGTTTCATGCAAATGACTTCACATTTACTGTCTAGTTTGAATGTTTATAAAGCTTTGTCGCTGGAGAGTTTACGACAGGAAGTGGAGATTGTAGAATTTCACAAGCGGAAATTGTTCTTTAACTATTGCACATTTTATGTAGGTTATAAATGGAAGATTGGACATTTTGAGAAATATGATTAGATACCACTATCATGACTGTATTTTTAATAAGAAGGTACAGCCAGAAGAAATAAGCTGGTCTGGCTCTGTCCAAAGGTAACAAAATCAACCTACCAGTACCTCTAAAGCTCACTAAAGCCCCAAGACAAAAAGCCCACTAATGGTACAATCAGCACGCTTTCATCTGTTTCTACCTGTGGATACCTATATATGTATGTATGTATGCATTAGCATGCTAGGCTTACAGTCCGTCAGCTGGGACTTTATATCTGTGCTGTGACATCTGTCACCGCAAACACACCCGTCACCTGCCCAGCACAATGCTGTTAACCAGAACAGCATTTCTGGTCTATTTTAAGACAGTCTTTGGGCTACACAAGAGTTTACTAACCCTGTTTAATTGAAAAAAAACCTGCATATGCAGTGTGTGCTAATTTTGGTGTAAAAAGGTTATAATTGACATATTATATATGGTTTATCTGTATAAAAAACAAAATCTAAAGGTGACAGTGTTTGCGATGAAACCAGTGGAGGAAGTCACTGCATCCAGATCAAAACTCTTGGCAAGAAAGCCAATATTGTTAAACTACTTCTTAAGCTTCTACGTACATTCCACATGTAGTGAGGACGCTCTGTAGACTCATTACACTACACTGCTGAAAACAGTTTCAAGCCAGGACAAGTTTAGAAATATAGCCATGCTTGAGTGAGAAGTTTCTTAAACTTTCTCCCTTTCTTTAAGAGTTTTAATAAAATGACTGAGAAGTTTGTTGAAATGTCCAGACCAGCTGTATTCCTGGCATGGTAGTCTCATGTACAAAGCACTCCTGAGACCTGGGGAGTTTTTACAGTTGGAATATTTAGCAGTTATTGGCTCTACCTGTAAACTGGTTCCTAAATGAAGCAACAGGGATTTAAATCACTTGCTTTTTTACTCAGTAGCATACAAAAGTAAAAAGAAGCTCCTGTATTTTAGATGTGGAATACTTTAAAAAAAGTATATGATCAATAGCTGGAGAGGTGAAAAGGCAGACCAAGAGAGATTAGAAGAGAAAATGTGAAGAGAATGAGAGGCACTAAGAGGATTGGACAGCAGATTCTTTTAAAAATTAAATGAAATACAAAATGTGATCATATTTCAGGAAATGGCGTGTATGGCAGCTGAGATTTTATTGCCATACAAACATAAGAAAAATGGTTGTGGACTCTGGATCCTTTCCTTGCTGGTATTTACATACAAGTTCCCCTGGAGCTAAGTCAGGATAGCTTTTAGAGCAAATCACATTGTTCCCCCATGTTTTCCTGAAGCCTTGATCTGTTAGCGACTCTCCGTGATAGCTCTATCTCGGCCTCACCGGTATCTTGACTCCATGTTCACACACTGTGTCCTTGCGTGTAAATTGTTCATTGCTGCAGCGCAACAGCTGTATGTCATGACAAGGATCATCTGTTGTGTGACACCCATGACAGCCCGTCGTGCTGCGTCCATGCTAACCCATGACCGTTCCACTGCTCCAGCTGCGGCAGCTGTAGAAGATGGCATAATGGTGTGTGTGTGTGTGTGTGTGTGTGTGTATGGGTGTGGCTTTGTGAATTTGGTAGCTACTGTGAAATGAGGACATTGTTCTTGCTATCTCTCAGCTTTATCCTTTTCTCCAGGAATGAGCTCATGGTTGTAGACGGTCCCCAGAGGAAGGCTTGACTGTACAGACTCACTACTGTGGACCAGAAACTAGCACTTCACATTCAAAGACAATGCTCACACCCTCCATGTATCATTCTATCTGCATAGCAACCTGACAGCTAATTTCTCATTCTGGTCTTTAAGGGACTGCAAGTGCATAAATCTGAATCGGTATCCTTTTTTTGTGTCAATCAGTTCTACTTCTGTTTCCACAGTTTCCAAACCCTAATAGTCATATTTTTAGCTTGATCGTTCCATCTCTCGCTTGTTGACTCTCTCACCAATCATGTTTTTTACTCTGCGGTTGTTTCCCTGCACAACTGGGTTGGGAGCACATTCTCCATTTTGTGCCGAAGGCCCTTGTCCTACTGTTGGCAGTGAACTTGCCTCCTGGGACTAGTATTTAGGTCAGGTACCAAACAGTGAGACTTATCACCCATCACATGTTTAGCTCTTCTTTATTTGTTGCTGTGGACTTTTCCTCAGTATCATTAAGAGAGATCATCTAAATCAGGCAGTGTCCAGTGTCAGAGCCCTGTTGCACCCTGTCGAGTATGTGAGTGTTGGTGATTTAGAGACCTCCAGAATTGGCTTAAGATTATATGATGCGGTTCTCCTTTGGGACAGAGGAGATATTTCCTTTCCCTCGAAATGGAAGACATGAGATATGGACCCAAGAAGGGAAGAATCCCAGCACATCGTAAAGAATTTCTGTGTCGTCTCGAGCAGTCTCAGATGGTTCAGCAATCGTTTTGTTCCAGTCTAGACCGTAGAGAACCAGACTGTTTGAATTCACTGCTAAATATCAGAGCTTTGGTGCTTGGATTGGATTGCTTCGTTTAGGATGGATAGGTGATAAAGCCTCTCAAGGTTCGGGTTCGATGTGTTATGCTGTCAGTAAGACCTTCACCTTAAGTGTCCCTCCTGAGGCCATTGTTCAGTTTCCTGTTGCACAAAGTTGATTGCTGTGGTTTTCACCTAATATTTCCATCAGCAGGAAGGGCCGTCTGTCTGGATAGAGAGACTCACTTTTTTACCTCTTATTATTTATATTGGACTGTCCTTTCATCTTATTTAGCTACGCTATGGCCATAACTCTGATGGCAATGTCGGTCTGTCTGTTTGTCAATTGTTTTTTAGTGAATTGTGTCAACATCTACTGGATTGTAAGAACTTTAGTTTTGTGCCATCAACAGGTCAAATTTTAATACTGTTGTTTGTGATCAATACCTGCAAAATGAATAAAATCCCCATTGACATCTGCTGTACTTTGTGGTTTGTGCTAATTAGTATACTAACATGCTAAATTAAGATGCTAGATTAAGATTATAAGCAGCATATTAGCATTGTCATGATGAGGATGTTCAACAGCCTCATGGAGGCTTTAGCATGGCTGTAGACTCTTAGTCTTGTGGGCAAGCTGAAGGCAATTACTCACCCACATTCACACAAGCATTCAATAAGCAGCACAAAAATTCTCACATGAACCCCCGACCTTTGTTCTTTTGATGACATTATGGATTTCAGGGACTCTCATGGAAGCATAAAGACACAACACAAGATTGACTTTGGTCATTATCCAGTAGTGGGTTCCATGTGTTTTCAACAAAGATGAAGGTTCAGCATCTTTGTTAGTGCATCACTCCTTCCGGGGAGGTGTAGCCTAAGGGTCTCTCTGGCTAAGAGAGGTTGGATTGACTAAAAGCTGTGTAAATATTAGTAAAGAAGAGTGCTTGTGCTGTGCAGCATGATGTTTCCTTCATCCATGTTTGCACTGAAGTGATTTCATTCTTTTTTTTTCCTTACAGGAGATGTTTACATACAGCCAACACAGGATACAAAAAATCCTGTGATATATGGAGTCTTCTCAGTCTCTGGGTTAGTGTACTATAACAAATACTGTATTATGCACAATGACTGTAACAGGCTCCGTTTGAAGATACATTTTTTGGGGGGATATTTTGATTATTTTGTAAGATACATTTTTCTGACCTTTTTTTTTCTCTTTCTCTTCCTTGACTTCACAGCTCTGTCTTTAAAGGCTCGGCAGTTTGTGTCTACTCCATGGCCGACATCCGCATGGTCTTCAACGGACCCTTCGCCCACAAGGAGGGACCCAATTACCAGTGGGTGGCCTACACTGGGAAGATCCCCTACCCTCGACCCGGCACCGTGAGTTTATAATCCACACTGACCCCACATTGAATCCCACAGCAAGCTGGCATAACAACGACTTCTCTCTGAGTTAGACCTCAAATAGAAACCATCTGAACAAGGTCCTGGTTTCAGCATAGCCACTTTTTTGTACTTTTTTCCTCGCTATAACTAATGTAACTACTGTAACTTTGTGTGTGATTATGTACTTTCTTCTTCATGGGTTTTGACCAAAGCTCAGAATGTTAATAATTCTGTTTCTCTTTCAGTGCCCTGGAGGTACCTTCACCCCCAACATGAAGTCCACTAAGGACTATCCAGATGAAGTGATTAACTTCATGAGGAATCACCCTGCCATGTACAATGCTGTGTACCCAGTACACAAGCGCCCCCTGGTGGTTCGGACCAATGTGGACTATGAGTTCACCACCATCACTGTGGACCAGGTGACGGCTGCAGATGGCAACTATGAAGTGCTGTTCTTAGGAACTGGTGAGTGTTTTGTAAACTTTAAATTTTTAATTAATTTTGGGGAAGGAGCCAAATCTGTTTGTTTTTTTGTCTGCTTATAAAATAAGCACAGATTTTTTTGGTTTATTTTTAAGCGATTAATGTGTACTTGAAATCAGTCTGAACTCATGAACCCTTTGATCAGAGTCAGAATGGTGAATGACAGTGTCAGCGGGAAGCTGAATAATGGAGAGAAAAATCCCCCCTGGAAATAAATCCCATGTAAGTGGAGGGCTTGTCTCCCTTGCAATCATTTATCATTAACAGAAAAGCATTCTTGCTCTGGGTGCCTGAGTGGAAATTTAACCAGTCAAAGGGTTTGCACCTCGCTCTATTCACATGAAGTAAACAACAGGAGATTTGTACCTGCAGGGCAGGGGTGGATCAACAGCAGGAGGGAGAGAAAGAAATGGTGGGGGGGGGGGGGGCTACAGTTAGGATATCCATCACCTTAATCTTACCCACTGGTGTAAGTTTGTCTGCATGCCTCGCACCTTTAATAAGGCCCCAGTCTGAGAGCAGCAGCCACCACACAGTATGCAGCCCTCACATGTTGCATATCACGCCAGTTAACTGGCTTCTTTGTTCATCTGTACATTACGGGGAGGAAACTAATGGGTTTGTGCGATGGCAACCATTGTGGAGGAATGTGTGTCCTTTCAGCTGCTGTCAGAGGCAGCTATTCAGCCCTGCATTGGGGCTCAATGCAGAACGCATAATGAATCTCAGATATCCTGCTCACAGGTACTCTTTACAGAAATCAAACATGCCAGGGAAGGCCAGGGAATGTCAGAAGGATAGGTCAAGGCAAGATGGGAGCAGAGAGTTTGACAGAAGAGGTTTGTCATGGTGGCGGCAGTGAGTACACTAAGTGGAACAGAGCTTCACGTCATTGAGTGAAGGTTAAACTGAAGAGAAAATACGTAACAGAGGTGAAGAGTACAGTGGAGCCAGTGTTGATACGAGGATTATCCCTTGTTGGAGGTTGCTTAAAGAATAAAATGGGAATCCAAGGGGCTGTTGACAGGTGGAAGGGTGTGAGGTTGCAGGTATGTGGCTGACAGGTGTGCGTTGTGGTCCACAGACAAGGGAACGGTTCAGAAAGTCATCGTTCTGCCCAGAGATGACCTGCAGACTGAGGAGCTGGTCCTGGAGGAGGTAGAGGTTTTCAAGGTGAGATTTTATACTTCTCTATACTTTACGTTACCTCCTTTACACTTCCCTGTTTGTTCTCTGTTTTGCTCCTTTGATATAATTTTCTTATTTTCTTTTTCCAATTTGCTCGTTCCTCTGTATATACATTTTCATCTGCTACAAAGGTAACAAACTGTACTCACAATAAATTATTTTCTCTATCCAGGTCCCTACTCCGATTACAACAATGAAGATCTCATCCAAAAGAGTAAGCATGTCTGTGCAACTGAGTTTTAACTGTTGCTGACATAAAGACAAAAGAAATCATCCTCCAAAGAAAAGAATTAAATTAATGTACTTTGGAAGGTCACAGGCACACGTATACAGCTGTGCTTCTCTGCCGCTTCCCCTCATAATTCACAGAATAGCTGTAAGTCTGAGGGAGACAACGAAGAGAGAAATATGGAAAAGACATTAAAAGTTTAGTGTTGACTTTCAATGTGATTACAATACTTGGCCTCTTCTATGACATCATTCCACAGACAGTTTGTGTTACACACAGCCTGCCAGGCTGACAAATTTCAAACTGATCATAAAATGTTGAAGGCAACCTGATAGAGATGAGCTCAATATTCTCCAGAGTGATCCAGAGCCTGTTGCTCTCATAGATTAGATTACTAGACTAGAATTTACACTAATGTCATTACATCCATCTGGGTTTTTGCATGGAAAAACATAATGGTCATAATAATTAGAATCTTGTAAACCATTGAATATTATGTTTTTAGGCTTAATTTAGAGCACTTTTAGCTCTATGTTATATATATATGTTATATATATTATAGATATATATATATATATATATATAATATATATATATAATACACACACATTTATATATATATGTATATATATACATATACATTTATTATGTAGTAGTATATATATATATGTGTGTATATATATATATATAATCTATATATATACATATATTCTATCTATATATATATATATATATACATATATATATATATATTATATATATATATATATATATATATATATATAATATATATATATATATATATATATCTATAATATAATATATAGTACATAGTACAACTTCAAATTTACTGTTGAAAATTTCCATAATGGTCAGCTGCAGCTGTTCTCTTTCCCCTTTTTCAATTTTCATATCAAAGTGTTCTCTAGCATTGTGTATAACACAATTTTCCATCTTCTTCTCTTTCAACAGCAACAGCTGTATGTGTCATCTGTAATAGGGTTGACCCAGTTGGCTCTTCACGCGGTGTGATGTGTACGGTGAGGCCTGTGCTGACTGCTGTCTGGCCAGAGACCCTTATTGTGCCTGGGATGGCAAGTCCTGCTCCCGTTACTCTGCCTCGCAGAAGAGGTGAGCACCAACAGCAGTGTTAGCATGAGCTACTCTAACTTCATAACTAACTGACTAACTGACCTTGGTGTGCTGAATGATGCGTTAGACTGCCTGAATGGCTGTTTTAATGGCATTATATTCTGTTTTAATAATAGAATCTTCATAGTCTTGGGTAAACGTTGTTAACACTGCACTAATAAATCATATATTTGAAAGTACAAGTTTAACCAGTATCTGAATTCACATTTGTGTAATGCAGTGACATAACAACATAATGTCATGTGTTGGTTTGCGGTTAGATCCATTTACATTTTGATACGTTAATGGATTTATGTATTGTTGAATGGCTTTGAATGGCTTGCGGTTGCTTTATTATCTTTTCTCTCCTTATTCGGCAACACTGGTCTGACCCCTTTAGACGTAGCCGGAGGCAGGACGTCAAGTATGGGAACCCCATCCGCCAATGCAGAGGCTTCAACTCCAACGGTAAGATGCCTTTTCTTTTCTGCTTCTTTTGCTTCGATTTGTTTATTAATGACTCAGAAGAGTGAAATAAATGACACATCTCATTATTGCCTTTCAAGGTTTCCTTGTTATGGGCTGTGATGTGTTTTTAGCCAGCTTTTTGGCAATCTGTGAAAGCAGTATTGCTAAAATGACTTTGATTGCTACAACTGAGATTTTGGTCGTAAGGAGTTCATGGTAATGAGTGTTTTGTTGCCATGGATATGCCTCTCTCTGCCCTGCAGCAAATAAGAACACTCTGGAGATGGTGCAGTATGGGGTGGAGGGAAGCAGTACCTTCCTGGAGTGTCAGGCCCGCTCTCCACATGCTGTCATCAAAATGGCATCTGCAGAGAGATAACAGCGATCGCAGGAAGAGGTGAGCCACCAAATAATGTATTTCTCAAACATAATAGAAGCATAATATATTTTGGATAGTTTAATGCATATTAATCCACTATAATGCACAATATCAACTTCCTGAAGTACTACATGGGCTTGAACCTTACTGACATGGGCTAGTGGCAGGTGAGCATTTCCACAGATGAAACATTTCTTTTGGACATATTGGACTGGGAGGGGGAGGCGGGGGCACTCCACAACCACAGTGTTTAATTTGATTGTGTTGTCATGGAGAGACAGAGATTATATGCAGTGTGACACATTTGAAAATGACTCCATTGTATTATATTCCGATTATCTGTTAACATGATTAAGTGATTCAGGCTCTGATTGAATGATGCCTGATTTCTCACACAGACCTCCGACTGTCCTCAGGCCCAAGGGAAGGACACGTAAAGGGGAGCTGTGAAAAAGCCTTCTGCCATGATATATGACCTGAGGCACTAGTTAAAGTTTTATTGGAAGACTCGTAGTGTTGCAGCCTCTATTTTATTGACTATGCCGTTGGATGGTCTCTATTCCCACAGGCAGAGCCGACTTTGCTTTTGCCCTGCACATCTGATTCTGAGCTAAAAAGCTATCACCCAATCACCTATTCTGTGATTGAGTCCTGGGTGTGGACATACAGAAAGAGATGGATTAATAGAGTTACATCTAGAGTTAGTGTTGAAAACATTTGATTGATACATTATTTAAGTACAAGTTAAGTTTAAATACAA